CTGTCACCATGCAAGGAGTAAAGCAAAAACCCTCGCAGTGTTGTGCTTGCTTTAGTTTAGAGAGAGTCACGATGAAGTAAACATGAATTAAACACATACCATTTGACTTTTCACTATCTGCGGGTTTCATCTGAATAGGATGATGCATCTAAAAACAAAAATGAAAAAGAGTAAGGCAGGTTGGAGAGTCATAAAAAATCAAGAATCATATTTTTAATGAAGGGCTAAAAAATACATGATAAATATTAAGCAAGTAGAAATTATATAAATTCAAAATAACACTATATTACAGGCTTTTAAGAAAAAAAAATAAAATGGTAAAGGAGCATTTTATAACCAGGAAGATTAAAAAAATACATCATTGGGCCCATAGGACTCATATAAAACTTCAATTTGCTGTATCTGGTTTCAGAAGACCTCTAAAGTTACAGCCCTCATTAGTTTATGGCATGCTTGGTTTCTGTTTTACCAACTTTTTTCCTTAAGCTCAACCACTGCCAAAACCAAAATGGAATTTTCAAGTAATTTAAGAGCTAGCAAGCATTTCAAACATACTCAGAGGAGCTGAGTTTGACAAATGAACTTTGCTTGTAATTAAAAAAACATGTGCTGATTCTTTTAGGACTGAAGAGGAAGAGACTTGTGCTTCCTGTAACTGTTTAGTATCTCATCTTCTTCTTTTTTTTTTTTTTACGACTACATTATGCATTCATTCATAAAGCCTCCATCACAACACGGCACAATTCTGGCTTCCATAAAAACGCCTCAATAATTTTTCTTTCTCCATCTGTCTGCCTCCTACTGCAAGAGACACCAGGCCGTGCGTGGCACACTAGGCCGCACATCACACGGCATCCCAACTCGGCATGCTTGGCATGGTTTGTCCTCAGCTTTCGTTACTAAATGATGCTCCTCCTACATTGAAATGATGGTAACTCCAACCAAATTTTTATCATCGGTGTTTTCTGTTGTTTCAGGAATGGCAGCACCACGACAGTTGAGCTCGCCCTGACCAGACTGCGTGGCATTTCCACTGGGCATTGCTTACAGCCAGGCCTCTGCCCACCCTGATGGATCCAGGGAAATTTTGTTACAGCTTCTCAAAAGCCTTCAGAACTGACCTCAGATGGAGTTTCAGTGTGGGAGATGTTTAAGCTTGTTATTCCCACCCCTGTTTTATTTTCTTTCATAGGGCTTTGCAGAGTCGCTGGGATTTGACTGCACAAACCTTCTGGCAGCAGCGGGGCCACTGCCTTTTCTCTCCTCAGCAATTCCTCGCTGTTTCATGTGAGCAGGTAAAAAAATCTACACTCTTACTGCTTTTGTATCACTTTTTCAGTGCAGCACAGACAAGTATTGCTTGAAAATGTCAGAGGTGATTCCATTTTTTTTATAAAAGACTATTAAGGCAAAGTTTGGGAAACAAAAACAGCTGAGCAGGAGAGAACATCCATGTATTCATATCAAATGTGCTTTCAAAGCAGCATAGAAAACCAAATCTGCAATGCTTCTGGTGGAGTCACATAACCTCCAGGGACAACAGTTGCTAGATTCTTTAGAAAATATAAAATATTGCTGTGAATGTTTCCCCAAGATTTACTCAAAGTCCAGAATACTCTCTGGCCCTGCAAATCAATGCATTCCTTGTAGTGCTTGCAAAACTCCCCACTGTGCCCTACAGAAAAGGCAAAGCCACAAGGTGGATGCAGTCACTAGGATGCATAAATTTGCTTCAATTTTAACAATTCTGTTCGCTTTGAGTCATTTGATTCCCAAATGCACTTTAATAGCCCAGCACTTGTGTGCCACCACTCTTATTCGATCTAATTTATTAAAAAAGGGAACTTCTATTGTACTCTGCCTTCTTCAACTAGTGCTTAACGTTTATCCCGGCATCAACAATACACTGGGCACTGCAGAGACTTTAAATTCATGGGAATATGGTGCAGCATGTCCACTCAACAAGCAAAAAGTGAAAGAAGAAAAAAGGTGTAACTTGCTCCATGAGCCTATCGCTGGTATTGACGTCTCTGTGGACCAATTGAGCGGTGAGAAAATAAAGAAAATCGAGTACTGTAAACTTGGGAACATGCAGGTTATAGAAGAAAAATCCAACCCAAATCCAGACCTTTGCATAGATAGAGAATCCGTTGCTCTATCTAGCTGCATTTATATGTCCCTAAGTGGAGATATTTTGAATAAAGGCAGCTGTAACAACGTTAAAACCCTTTCACTTTTCAAACTGCCTGAACCAGAGAAGCCAACTTTAGGCCAGATTCACATGACAAAGTTATTTTTGCAGCCCCACGCTCACAATACAAACACCGGCGTTACCTGAGAAGCACAGTTACCACATCAGAAATCATCCTCTTCTTTTATGCATAATTACCCCAAGTTCATTAAGTCAGTAATCTCTTATGTTGGCAAAGCAAGAGGCAAGATTTAACAAGACGCTTCAGCTGGCTTTTGACTTGATTTCAAAGGCTCCTGCTTAAACTCCACCGTCCAAATTCTCTTCACACCAGCAAGCCGAAGTTGGGAGCGATGCCTTTGTGCTTAACAAAACTGTATCGGTGCAAAACTAATAAAAAACTCACATCAGGCCTGAAGGTTTTAAACCACAGAATACCCATGGTAAAATGGATGCGATACACAAACATGGCTTCAGCAAAGAGGAAGGTGGAAAAATACGTTACTGACGGTTTCCTAACATGAGAGGGCTCGTGTTGAAGCTTGTTTAACCCTGACCATCACCAATTGATACGTTAACAACCTTTAACACTAGATTCAATAAAACATGCCATTTATAACCTGAAATGGGTTTTACAGAGTCACTGGTTCGCATCTCATTATTGAACTCATTGCTGACCTCTAGAGACAACTGCCGTGACAATACATATTATAAGCTCTCTACCCATAAAATATTTAAAAGTGTAGAAAAGAAAAGAAAAGAAAAGAAAAGAAAAGAAAAGAAAAGAAAAGAAAAGAAAAGAAAAGAAAAGAAAAGAAAAGAAAAGAAAAGAAAAGAAAAGAAAAGAAAAGAAAAGAAAAGAAAAGAAAAGAAAAGAAAAGAAAAGAAAAGAAAAGAAAAGAAAAGAAAAGAAAAGAAAAGAAAAGAAAAGAAAAGAAAAGAAAAGAAAAGAAAAGAAAAAAGAAAAGAAGGAAAAGAATGAATCTCAAAGAAGTGTGCAGTGAATAAGAAAATTAAAGGGGCAGAGACAAAGGCTAAATAGGCACTATCGTTTCACTCTACGATGAGCAAAAGAGAAAATAATCTGTGCGTTTTATATCTTGCTTGTATAACTGCAGGCTATAAAATAATAAAATAGCTGTGCTTTCCGAGGCCCTCCAAAAGATTATAGATGATATAAACCTGTTTCAAATTAGATGCCACCCACTAGAATCATGTCATCTACTGAAATGAAGGATTTCATGTCTTATCAGAAAGCTGTTATTGTAGCTATACATCACAAAGCCATACACTTATGGATCTCAAGGTAAGTGATTTCTCAGTATGTCATATTGTCACACGGAAAAACAGGAAACGTTTCCTTCTGTGCTTGAGGAAAGCTTTGCCAATAAAAATACAGTATTTATGAATGCACAGTTGCAATTAATAAATAGGCAAGAGTGAGAAAAATAACCGCAGTAAATAATTTATAGACATTAACATCACACTGTGCTCAGACCCTATGGTAAAAGAGAACAACGCAGCTCTCAGGCAAGCTCTTCCTGAAGTGTGGGCAGCTTCCCCTGGTGTGCACCATGCGTGGGGATATCAGAAGCAGACCAGAGAATGGGCCGTAAGGAACAACACAGCAATGTTTTATACAGCAATACAGGATGCTGTTGTGCAGCCAGTAATGGCACGACATACCTGTCCTATAAGCGCTCACTACCCATAGGTCTCCAAACACACCATCACTGCTATTTTACAACCAAAGCAGGCAAGTGGCTGTTGCCCAAGGTTGCGCGGTGCCTTGCGGCAGCGCTGGCAGCAAAGCGGAGGCTCCATCTGCCACCTCCACTGCTGTGGAGGCCACGCAAAGCCCGAGGCCAAGCATGTCACCACTTCTCCTTGGGCACGTCCCAAGCAGGGGTGCTGATGTGGTCCACAGGAATCAAAAAGGGAAAGAAACAGTTGTCAAACATGCAATCCTGAAAATTGCCCTGAAATCAATAGGAACCTGGCTGCTGGCTATGTCGAGGGCAGCAGCAGGACCAAGCCATGGCCTGGAATTACAATTGAGTAGTTATACAAAGTCCCAGAATGGTTGGGGCTGGAAGGGGCCTCAAAGATCATCCAGTCCATCTTTTTTCCCCCCTCTTTTTCCTAAGTACATATCCCACTGTATATAAAGACAACTTCATTAGAGAATAAAACACAGCAGAGCAACCCAAAAACCTCTCGAAGGCACGCATCCTCTCCAGCTCGAGAGCCTCAAAGTCATCTTTCTGACAATAAGAACGCTACCTATTTACATTCTTGTCAAAGCCATGTGACATCTGCATGGGAGAAAACAAGCCGGCTAAGAGTCTATTTCTGGCAAAAATATTGCAAGGAAATTAGATTAACCTGGGTGGAATTCTATCTGGGAATTTGGAGTCTGTCGTGGTGATTAAGTCATCATTTCTGTCAGATTACTCTAATCGGCTGTCAAATACGATTCCACAACTCCATCTGTAACTTGGCATCCTCGTTATTCAGTCGATGTTACCTTCTGTATACAAAACAAACACCAAACAAGGAGGTGTGTGCAGCCTAGCATTTAGCAGAGTCATTAGCCGTGATTACTATTGTCTGCTTGCACATTGCATGACGCGATCAGCTTACGGCTTGTTTTATTTAGGCAGAGGATGCTTCAAATCAGGTGTAATCTTAAACCTGGAGGGCTAGGGGTGAATGGCAAAGACCTGTCTCCAGGCATGGCTGAACGTGGGATTGGCACCCTCCAAGGCACCACCGCGTCACCAGCAATTGCTTAAATCTCATTTCAGAGCTGTCAGCGTATCTGGGGGAAAGACTTTTGGGCACTCGCTTTCTATCCATTTTCTGAAGAGAAATGGGCACTCAGATGTTCTCGGTGGGATAAAGACTCCCTGCAAGCAGTAATTTCTGTTGGCAAAGCAAGGTTTGTAAGCTGAGGCA